CCTGTTCCAGTCCCGCAGAGGCCTGCTGCCCCAGGGTGCCCTACTTCCCAAGCCCTGAAGGTCCCCTCTGCTCCCTGTTGCCCCCTGCCCTTAGATCCCTTGGCCCCTGTGTTCACTCCCCGTCCTTTGTCACCGTTGTTCCCTTCTGGTTCCTTTGTGCCCTCCATGTTTGCTCCTCGTCCTTCTGTGCCATTGCTCCCCTCTGGTCCCTTCGGGCCCTCCGTGTTTCCCCTTCATCCCTCAGTGCCTTCGTCTTTGGTTGGTCCCTTCGTGCCCCCTGTGGTTCCCCCTTGTCTCTCGGTGTCTTCTAGTCCTTTTGTGGCCCCCACATGTTATCCTCGTTCTTCTGTGCCTTTGTCCCCTTTCGGTTCCTTTGTATGTCCTTCTCGTCCATTTGTGCCCATGCCCCCTGTTCGTCCCTATGTGCCCCCTGGTGTGGTCCCTCCATCATCCCCTTTAGTGTCCCTGGGTCCCATGTTTCCGTCATTGGTGTCTTTGTCTGCATTCCCCGTGGTTTGTGGCTTATTGTTTGAGTTGTCCACCTTGTGCCAGTTCTGTGTGTCCATACTGTTCCCTGTGCCCCATTGAGTTTTTTTTGCTTTTGTCTCTCCAGGTCGCGTCCGTCGCCTCCCCTGGGGCGCGCCCGGAGTGCGCGCCTTTGGGGGGGGGTTCTGTCATGCCCCGATCGTCCACTCCTCTTATGTGCCACGCCCCCTCGTCAACCGCATGTGGATTCCCCGTGTTTACCAGCTGTTCCTGATTGTTGTCATTAGTTCATTGTATTTAGTCTGCGTTTCCGTTTGTTTCCCCAGTCCGGTCATTGATGTTGTAATGTCGATCTGTGTGTTGCCTTCTCCTTCGTGTGTATCCCTCATTAAACCCCGTATTCCCCTTATCCTACGTCTCCTTGCCTCTGCTTCCCTGTTCAGCGCATGACACACACTACCTTCCATGGCATAGACAAATCTACAAATGTGTACATAGGTATTAACTCTTTCATTGTCGCCGCCTAGTGGTTCGGACGCATACGTCCAAATTTTCAATAACAAAAAAAAATGACGTTCAATAAAAGAAACAAATGTATCAAATCAACCAAAAACGGCTTGTTACACTACAAAAAACCTTTCAGATAATATCTGTAGAAAGTTGCGCAATTTTTGTGCCATGGTTTTTTTGTAACAAGTAAAAATAAAATGACCATGGTAGCCATCTTTAAACGGGTCGAGTGTCAGGAAGTAAAATATAAGTGTTAATAAAATGAAAACTAAGCACTTCAAACTATTTCTTTCACGGCCAATAATTCATAAACCGTCACA